CAGAATCTATCAGCACCTTTTCTCTGGCCAGCCCTGAAGCTAACCACTCGTCCACATTGGAGCCTTCCTCCTACTCAGACAACCTGATATCATCTTCTAGGATTCTCCTTGACTCTGTAGCCAGGCTGTAGTCAAGATGCATCACCAAAGCTGTGCAGGCTGCACATACCTTTCTGATCCCTGTGTTTTAAGAAATAAATTTTGAATATGAATTTGGACTTTATTTATTGCCTAATGTTATAGAACTAGAAACAAGGACTGTTCAAATGCTCTGTGCTTAAACATGTTTGTGAATTGTGGAAATCACTATAGCATATTTTCCTAAAGGTTTTCAGTCCAGTGTAGTATTTTGATAGGCTTAATCCCAAAAGTTTGAATTCCCAGAATGGATTAATAAAATCTATCTTGGATATAATTTTTCTCACATGTTTCAATAGCTGAAGTTTTTATCTTAGTTTTACTGGCTTCCCTTTTCATAGACTCATCTCTTTTATTCTTTGGAGACTTGCCTATTGTAAATTAAACTTGAACTCTGGGTAACTGATAATTGTTGAGGTGACAGTTTCCAGTAACTGGGTTCTGCTGGGAAAAAAAAAAAAAAGCTAACCATGTCTGTTTGGGAAACTCTTAATTGAAGAAAAATATTTTAGATTTCAACAAACAAGTCAGAAAATTTTACAAAATGGTTTAGCAGAAGCAAGAACTGTATGATAAAGTTATAAGTCAGTACTTTATTATACATTTGTCTATTTTTCACAGTACTCAAGAATGTCTCACACATGCCAGGCACTCATTGCACCATTGGGGTTACCATTATATTTAAACAGTGAAATTTGGTGCTTTGTTCAATCAAGTAGCTTAGGTTTGTAATTAACTGAGTTATTGGAATTATAAGAATCTGTTCCAAGAAAAATCAAATTGTAAATTGTATGTACTTTTGATTGTATATATGCATGTATGATGGGTGGACCTGTGAGTCATCGAGTATAGCATTATGTATGGAGGGCAAAGGACAAGTTTGCAGAATCTGCTTTGTTCTACCTTCCCATGATTTCCAGGGTTCCATTCCTCAGGGTGGTTGCTGCAGAATGCACACATCTTCACCCGCTAAACCATCCTACCTGCCCAAAGAAATAGATCTCTAAATAACTGAAGGTAAAACACACAAATTTACAAATAATAAAGCACAGTTTGAAGTTTTTTAATTTCATTAAATCAGCTCCCCACATTGATACTACTTTGCTTATCACCCATGTTAGAGTAAGAATGATACAACTAATTAAATATTCTTATGTTTGCTTGACATTTTTATTAAAGTAGAGAGAATATTTCTGTGCAGTGAAAAATAAAACTGATATGAATTTGCCATGATAAAAATGGTCCAAAATACAAAGTGCACATTGAATACCAGTGTTCTTTAGCTCCGTTCTTCCCACATTATATTAAACTGACATATATGAAATGTGACAGTAAAAGATGGTCTCTAGTCCCTCTGGAGAGGAGAGAGCCCTACTCGACCCTTCATTCTTTCCTAATTTAAGCAGTCTTCACAAATACGAAAAAAGCTATGAGAGATGTTAAGTTGTACAGACTTGGAACTTAAACTCAATTTATTCTATGCTATTTTCTCACATCATTTTCGGGCTCTAATTTTTGTGAAGCCCTTTATGTTTGTGTATGTTTTAAAAGTGGCCCGATGAAGAAGATTTTAGTAACATCATCCATTGAGGAACATTTAGTTGATTTTCTATGTACATTTCACTTTGAAAATTTCTGCTGTGCCTCTGATAATTACATGAATTGACCTCATGATTATAAGTACTCTCCTGGCATGAGTAAACAAATACCCCCAACAAAAGCCTAGATGATACAATATAGACATTGTGTAATGGTAATGTGATGAATTTGCCTGAATGTTTAGCTGAAGGTTTTTAGCTCCTCCAAGTCTATACTCAGAATTTTGAGTTGTCCTATTTATCTGTATTGGTTTTTAGATAATTTCATGCAATACACAGTAATAATAACTGTGATATATACAGGACTTTGTGAAGATAATTTGCTATAAAATTTACAATGTCCATCTTTCGGGTGATCACTTCACTTTTCAAGAATCTTAAGTTTAAAGATGTGGGTAGCACTGGAAACATTCAAACAAGTAACCATATACTAGTTAAGCAGGTTATGTATAAGATATACATTTCTTAAGATACACACGCACACACACACACACACACACACACACACACACACACACACGGATGCAGTAGCAATTAATGAATAAAAGAAGTCATGAATTTAAAGGGCAGCAGAGATAGGAATATGAGATAGTTTGGAAGGAGGAAAAGAAGGTTAAAAAATGTAATCTGAGTTTGGAAGGGTGACTCCACATTACAGAGTTAGTTCACAGACAGCTCCACTGGGTGGCAGCAATACAGTGTGGAAAGGGTAGAGGGAGCCCTGAAAGCCCCAGCAGGAGCCAAAGCACAGAACTCACCATTAGTTACTCTTATTTATGCGCTACCACGTGAGGATACTGACATTCATAAACTCAGAATTCTCCATGCTTGATTAGGTTAAAAAAAATTAAAACAAAAAACAAACACAGCAATAATATTTGATTTGAACAGTATCTTAGTGGAGAATAGTTTCACTGTGCAATGCAATTACTTTTATATCCATTTTTCATTGTAATGTGTAAGATGCTAAGTTTTGAGTAGAAACTTTTACTCGATTAAGTATTCAATTTCAAACATTATAATGTGGCTCTTGATATACAGTTAGTAAACATATATTGTGTGCTATCTCCATAAAATTAAATGCAAAATAAGCATCTTGGGTATAATAGGTTTTATAAACACCGTGACTATGATTCAGAATTACATATTCTCGTAAATTATTCAAAGTTGAATTTGTGATTCACAGCATTTTAGTAACTACTGGAAAAATAGCACTGTCATGCATGTCTGCAGCAAGGCAAAAATACTGCAGAAACTTAACATTTATCGTATGCAAATGCCTAACCTGTTAATGCAACTTAGACTTAAGTCAGCATGCAAGGGAGAAAACAAAGAAAGGCGAGGCAAAGAGAATCTTAGAACACTTAAGAAAGGTGAGCTGTGACAGAACATACCCCACTCTTTCATCCTGAGTTACAAGCCCCACATACACATCCGTGGAAGTCGGGTGAACTCACTCTGGTCAAACAAATAAGGCACTAAGTCATTCTGCTGTTTTCCTTTTTTAAGTTAAATGTTTATTTGCACTGCTTGAAGGATAACATCAGTCAAAATAATCACACAGTGTGGGTCTAAGTATAGTCTCCATGTTATTAGAAATATAATTCACTCGGCCTAATTCCTTATTCCTTTGCACTGTGCAGTATCTTCTGGAAAGTATTTTACCGTAATTGTGTTGTGGTCACAGGAAGAACTAGATACAGCTGTGCTGTAATTAAATCTGTGAGGCATGCCTTCTCACACTATGAACGACATGCCTGAGAGCAGATTCCTTAGGGCACACCAGTTAAACTGCATTATTACTCAGGGTGGTCAGCCTTATAAAAATATTTCTGTTAGGAACTCAACTCTGTGAGCAGTAACATTTTGTAATATAAGAACAGCCTCCTAAATGACCCAATTGAAAAGGTGCAGATAGTGAAGCACTGTGTGTGTGTGCTCACGCGCACCCTCGAGTGCGCATGATAACACCCTAGATGGTAGATCAGGTAAGAGCAAGAGGGCCCAAACCTCTCCTCAGTCTTGTCACTACCCTTATAATTTGTAATTCAGATGCAAGCTGGGTATCAATATAAAAGATTTGAAATATAAGGCAGAAACAAAGAACATAGCTTGATCCTGTCTCCATATGAACACAGCAAACAGATGTGCCCATCAAATGGTGTCTTACGTTACTAGCTAAGGCAAACCTGGGTGACTCAAAATTGTGGGTCAGATAAACCCTTGCAAGTGAACAAGCACTGTCCCAAACATGCAGCTGACAGCATAGACTGTTATAGTGTTTATGACCTAAACCCAAAGGAAGTAAGAAAGAAAGAAAAAAAGAAAAAGTTAAAAAAAGATTTTTTTGTTCTTGTGGTCTCTTGTTTTTGTTTTATTGAGATTTGTGCTCAAGATTCATGTGCCAAACAGAACAAAGGAAACTGTCAGAGCTGAGGAGAAGACTTGGGTTTTGTAGAGATTCAAGCTCAAGCAAGGGGATCTGAACTTGGATCCCTAGTACCCACTTAAAACCTGGAGCAAGGCAGGAACATGTAATCCCAGCTCTGGAGAGGCAGAAATGAGTGAGTTCTCAGGGTAATGATGGACAGCCAGTCTAGCCAATAGTGAGGCTCAGGTTCAGGAAGAGACCACCCCACGCCCAAAACTAAGGTGGGCAACTGAAAAAGAACTTGATGCCAACCTCTGGTCTCCATATCCATGTGCTCATGAGTACCCTGCCCCTGGGCACAATGGCTGCTTCATGTGAATTAATGACAAAACAAACAATAACAAAAGAAACAACTAGCAGCTTAAGTATTTAGCACAGTCAACCACTTTAAGTGATATTAAACCACAATCTTAAATACTGCCCAGTTTGAAAGTAGAAAAACCAGCACTAATATACTTGCCTCCAGTAACTATGGGGGCTTTTGAATCCATTTGCATCACCAATCGCCTAAGCAATAGAGACATGTCTTTACTGTGACTGCACAGGTAGGTGAGATGTCTAACCAGGCTCCTGCAGGAAGCACTTTCGACAAAGGAGACCACAGTCACTGTCCAGGTACCCAGCTTGCAGACTTGATGCGGGACACGATGTTTCTTGTCCCACTGTGGTTCAGGTCTGTTCGTGGTAGGCTGTATTGTTTCCCTCTAGTGCCTCAGTATTTGAGTTGCTTTATTAATTTTGCTGCCTGAATGTGCTTTTATTTGTTTCTGCTTCAGCAATTTTGTTTTGCTATTCAGTTGAATTTACCTTGACCAATTTTTCGATTTCCTTAGGTCCGTGTGTTTACATTTTCTGTTGGTCAGCATAATTATGACAGAGGACCTATTCAGTGGATGGCTTGTGAAAACAAAGGTAATACATATGTTCTCTTGAGCATGTCTTATCAGAAGATAAAATACTTTGATAATTATTGTTAGGTCTTTCCTTGCACTTAAACTAGTGACTTTACAAGGTATGGAATAAGAAGTAGATTCTAAGTCTTCTTCCTATAGAGAACACGTACAACAAACTCTGAGATTAGTGCACACTCAAACATCTGATCCTGATACTGGGACAGATGAAGAGATGAGTGATGCTTAATGATATAGAGCTGATTTGTTCTAATTTTTTTTCTAAATGACTGGATTACTGTTTTTGAAAACAATCTTATACTTTTCCTCAATATTCAAATTTCTCACAGTGAGCTATTTTCTTTGTACTCAGAATAAAAAGAAAGTCATTTGAAGAGTAAAATGTTATAGCAGAAAAGATAACCTATATACATCCCAAAACTACATTTAGCAAAACATATGCATATAATATTTGTATATATCTGTACTTTTAATGTTTATCTAGTGAAAAAGAGTTTAATAGTTCTAGTTTCCTTACTGCTTTGTAGAGGAAAAGTTATTTTATGTTACCTAAGAAATATATTAAAATTTATCATAAATTCTCCAAAGTGATTGACAATACTCGCTAATCAATATTTTTCTGATTTTAACATTTGTATTTATATTTTAATAAATGTTTATATTATTTATCTACTTGCTCAAGTTAGAAAAAATTACCTTTCCTCCTATAAAAAATATAAAGCTATTTTTATTGTCCTATAGGTATAATATTTATAATTTATAATATGTATATGACTTTTAGGTTATTATTATGAAATTCCCTCCATTGGCGCAATAAGGATCAATACTCAGGTATGGTTATCTAAAAACTCTTAAATATTTTTCACAGTTAAAGATATTTTCCTGGTTTAATTAGTTCAATCTAAAGAGAATAGTTTAAAATAGAAAAAAAGATTTACATAATGAATGCTTATACAATGCTGTCTAATATGATATTTATTGGTTTTATATCCTTAAACATCTAAAACTTGGGTAAACATATATATATATATATATATATATATATATATATGAGCTTGTTATTCTTGGGCATTAAATAGGTCATAGAAACTGGATAGTGAGAAATTTATTAATAATCTCATGAAATTTTTATTCAATTTTAAGTCACAGCCATATAGAACACTAAATAGTAATTACTCTGGGTGAGTGATATAATAAGCTCTATATAGGACTTGAGTTTTCTGTACATATTCCTGCAAATCTATTTAAATAAAGCTAAAATAACACCTTTTAACACCATTCATTTGTGGAGTTGAGGAGCATACCATTTATATAACATTTTGTAGAATTCAGCGATTTTAATTTAAATATTTTTTATTTTGAAATGTTCATAAATTACAATTTAAAGATTGTTGCTCAGTTTGAAGCACCAACAATAATGCACAAAATAGCTGTTAAAACTTAACATAAATAGAGTTTGGCATTTAGTGTGCATGCTGAACACACTGATTGTTGAAATGAAACAGCAGTGAATGTGTCTGGACTTGGCACATATTTTAGTTATTTTTTTGATATGTTTGAATGCAGTTTTGAATTTCATCCAAACAATCTGTTATGTGAAAGCAAGTATGTGGTTGCTTTATCATTTCAAATTTGTACAATTTCACACATAAATCATGGAGCCTTAGAGATCAACATGAAGCCATTCATAATGAACATATTTCACTTATCATTGGCTGTACTTTGAGGAATAATGTTCTGATTGGCACTAGAAGAAAAAGCTAGAGAAGATATATTCCATAAATAGATGTTATTGATTCAATGTATATAAATGTATCATATAAGGAATAAGGTAGATCACAAATAGAGAGTGCCCTAAGTAGGACTTACACATTCTTAATAATTTGGGTCCATATTCAGTTTCAACTTTCAACTTTTCCATTTGAAGGTTATTTTTAAACATAGTATGTCTAATTTGTTTGTTTTGTTGATGACTTACACCGATTCTTTGGTATGAATAGGAATATCTAGATGTTCTTGGAAGACCAATGGTTTTAGCAGGAGACAAAGCGAAGCAAGTCCAGTGGACAAATGTGTATTTGGATGCACTGGTAAGAGGTTATGATCAAAACCCAAAACTGTCTTACAAGAGCACCCAGCTGATTTTGCTTCTCACTGGGCAACATTTCCCTTTTCTTCTTCACTGATTCATTACTTTGCAAGCTTCTTAGCTTAGGGAAATTTTTAGAAAATCCTAGGATTGCATTAATATAAAGTTGTACATGTAAAGTTATAGGTTATTCTTGATCTATTGAAAATACTGCTTTTCCAGTGTAGAATGGCGACTATATGGGGATTTCAGTAACTTTTTGATATTTTAATGTGGGAAAATAATGCTGAACATCATGTGAGTAGTGACCAAGTACTCCACATTTTGAACAAACACTTTGAAGCACATCTTTTTTAAAGTGGATGTCCATTGTTAACTATACGTACATGTTCCATGATTGTATCTGGACTTATACAAACTCAAATGGACATTTAGTTAAAGCCACATGACTCTGACAACGTATTTGAATAAGCGTGGAAATAATCACATCTTCATATAGACTGTCTGGCTCTAAGTTCAGATTTAGACATTCTCTGGGCAAGATCACATTGAGGTAATCATATTGGCTGCATCAGGTCCCCCATAATGCAGCATTCTATCACGTTTTAAGCACTAATTTTCAACTAGGAGTTACTTTTCCCTATCTGTTTCACTTGAACATGTATGAAGATATTTTTCTCTGGCACAGAGTGGTGCAGAGAGCTCTCAGTGGCATATAACAGATAGTAAGTACCCTTGGTTGGTGTTAAATATCCTATAATACATCAGTTGGCCCTGTTTCCCATACAGCTCAAAAATTATCCAGCCAAAGTTGTGACTATGAGATAAGCTGAGAAATCCTGTTCTACTTTATTTTTACTTTATGACACGTTATTAAAACTTATAATACCTAAGATTGTTTCATATACTAAATGTGAATTTAAGGACTTTTAGTCATTTACCAAAGTAATATTCTAGAGAGTCTAAACGCAAAGCTGAAAGTAAATGCTGATTCAATAATGCCCTTTTCCCTACTTGGAGTGCAGTTAAATGCCTTTGCTACTTCTCTGAGTGCAAGGATGAACCCAAAGGGCAAAATACAACCCGTTAGAATGACTTATCACTTGGTACTTACAAAATAAACACATACAGGAAGTTAGAGGAAAAGTGGGGACTGTTAGTAGCAGTCTTGCATGTGAAGAGAGATAAAGGGAAGCTTGCTTACCTCAAGCCTCAGAAAATGACTGCCGGGTGTTCCTTCTTGACGTTACTTATTTACTTAAGGTCACATGGTCATCTTCAGCCATGAGCAAGATGTTCAAATCCATCACGGGATTGCACATTCTGGGAGTCGATAGTTAGGCCCTGCTGAATTTCCTATGACCAGAAGTTCAGTAACCAGAGTGCCTTGCTGGCGAGGTTCTCTGTGATAACACAAACAACATTTGGAGGAAATACTGATTGTAAATGTTCTACTTTACAGGCTGAAACAAGATGTTTAAAAAAAAGAAAACAAACAAAAGTGGGATGTGTTGTTAGGTGGTCAGAGACACAGAGAGAATGCTGCATACTGGTTTGAAAGTTAGTGACCCATCATTAGAATCATGACAAGTAGGGTCTTCAGAGTGTTCTTCAGTCAAATCGGGATGTTAACATACAGTATTCCAAGAACAAACTTGATAACTACTGTAACATGAAGAATTCAAAGAGGTGTGGCATTTTAAAAGAAAGATGTTGTATACTTGTGGTTAGAGCAGGGAGTGGTTCAAAAATGAAGACATTTTAGCTGCGTGTAAGCACAGGTCATATTATTGTAATTCATGCAGAGGGTGAAACCACAAAAGCATGCACTACTAAATTAGGAGCACTAGGTTCATTGAAGAAATAATCATACCATCACTGAATCATCTTTAGAGACCCTGGATATAGGAGAGGAACAAGACTAGGGCAATGTCCTTGAGAGATTGTTTTATTTGAAAGATGAAGTTAGGCTCTTTCTATATAAAGGAAGATAGGAAGAGTTGCTCTGTTTATGATGAGTGCCACATTCCAGGAGGCAAGACCCTTAATTTTTCATTCCACTCCTCAGAAAGTGTGCAGAGTACCTGGAACAAAAAATACACTTTGGAGTCTAGTTGCCTAAGTAATATCCATTTCGGAACTACTTAAAAGTAATATTTAAACACCACAGTTCTCACTAGAATATTCTACAATGTACATATTCTTCTATGTACCATTGTACAGCTAGACATTTGTGATACAACATGGCACCTTTGATTTAAGGCTTAAAATTGTGAAAGAAACTACAGAAAAAAGGCTTTCAACACATCTAAAGTACTGTTTCCATGATAGTCCTGTTTTGGGGGCACCTGATAGCAAATGAACTATTTTGGAGGAAATGTAGATGTGAAAAGAGTTACTGGAATGTTACAGTTACATTTGTGTAAGTTGGTTTTATTTTGTTCACAATAGTTATTAGATATTGTAAAACTACTTAATAAATATTTACTACTTCTGAGAAATTTTCATTGATTTTTTTAAAAGTTCTCTTTAAAGACAGTCAAAATTGGTTATTAAGTTTTTGTGACTTTTTACAATATAATTGCAAAGTGAAGTTTCCAATTGCAAAGGCTAATCCAGTAGGACAGAGTTGAAATGTTGCTTTCATTGGCCTTTTCTTTCCATCTATTTTTAGGAGCTGGGACTTGTCATTACTGGAACTCTGCCGGTCTTCAATGTCACTGGACAATCTGAAAATAAGACAAACTTAAAGGTTAAAAGTTAATTGATAAAACTAGTCACAATAAGTGATAAACTATGACGTTGAAGCTGCACGTAGATAAGATAGTTGTATAAGGAGATACAGAAGATGTAATTGTCTTGTGAGGCTAGAGGTCATTGGCAACAGCTGGCCATATGATAACCACCAGGGAAAAGGGAAGTAAGGTCAAATCCTTCTGGCCCTAGAGTCAGGATTCAGCTTCATTTCGTCTAACTGTGACGTGATGAGAAAGTCAGAAAGTCAGACACAAGTAATGACATGATAAATGGACAATACTATCATGAGCCCACTTTTAAATGTTCTGGAGATATTCAAAGAATTCAGGAGGAAAACAGAAAAGCCAAAGCCTGGTTCTCTTTGAATCAGGTGCAGAAATATATGTTTATTGAATCCTTGCTTTTGAATTCCCAAAGAAGAGCTATTTTGTAATAACCTAATGATCTAATCAGTTACTTGCTTTCTGCTTTTTACAATATAATGAAAAATTAGTTTCATAAAAATATTCAATTTCTATAGCTCTGGTAATATCAGTACAAGAAGGAGCTATGTACTTGAAAGTTGTAACCGATTATTGAATGTAGTTTATACATTTTATGTTTTTACTTATTGAATACTTTTGACTTTAAAATACAATTACAAAGTTGAGAATGAATGTAAGTCTGTAAAATTATTTTTAATACTAAAGGCTTATTATGCAGGTGATATTGATGAATTAAAGGAATATTAATTTCTGGTTTGTAATTCAGTGAGGTTTATTGCACTAAGCATTGCTATTTAACTTTTATAAATTTTAGTGAGGTGCCTCATTTTAGCAATTGGAGTTCTACAAAGCATTGGTTCTGGCTTTTAGAGCCACTGACATAGATCTAAATATTGCAATTTTGTAACAGTGTAATTAATCCTGTGGTCTTCCTGCTCATGTTTTAAATTCTTAGCATGACCTACCCATCAGATTGTTTTACATATACTGGTTTTATTCAGTCTAGTTTTAGTTCATAGCAACAGACCATAGTTTTTGGCCCAACTGTTTTCTTTAATACAACTTTCATGCCTCTTATGGTTTAGGTTTAGTCATTAACATTTCATCTAAGTTAAGTAATTGGGATGGTGAAGTTGTGGAAAACAAAGATGAGAGTCCTTGTAAATTGACACCAAAAGTACCGTGTGTGTGTGTGTGTGTGTGTGTGTGTGTGTGTGTGTGTGTGTGTGTGTGTTGCACTAACACTAATGTGGAAGTCATTTATGATTATAATAAAAGGGTAAACATATTTGTGTAGAAACAGTGTCCGCTATAAAATGCACTAACTTCACTTTCTTCTTTTAGAACCAGTTGATTCTTGGTGTGATGGGCGTTGATGTTTCTCTGGAAGATATAAAGAGACTGACACCACGTTTTACAGTAAGAGGCAATTTGTCCTTTGACTACACTTCCTATTTGAAAGCAATGTACCAGTATAGTTTTCCATAAAGCACTTGAGAGCAAGGCACAAGTGCCTGATCTATCAAGAGGTTAATGTAAAAAGGTTATTTTTAAAATATGAAGACACCATTTTGTTTCTTCTGTGCTCCTATACTTGTATTGAATAACTATTAACATGTTTAGTGGAGATTTCTAATTGTGACATAGGAATCTCTAAGCTATTTTACTATTTTCCAGCTGTGCCCCAATGGCTACTATTTTGCAATTGATCCTAATGGCTATGTCTTATTGCATCCAAATCTTCAGCCAAAGGTATGTATATAAATTGTTTATAGTTACTAATGTTTGGTATAATCACTTACTAACAATGACGGGATTATAGCTTGAAATTCTCTTTGTAACATTACAGACAAAAGAACAGTGTCCTTGCCTCCCTTAAGAGAGGATAAGACCACTGATTACAGCATATGAAAATCTGAGAGCATTCTTCATTTTCTCTTGAAAGTTAGCTTAACTACAGTTCTTCTCTCAGACAGTGATCATCACCTCTCAAATCTCATTTTCATATATCTCACTTGCAACTTTAAGGCTCTAAGAGAGAATTAGAGAACACATGACAATTAGAAAGGGCCAGTATAGTAACAGAGGTCTGTCACAGTAAAATCGAACCTTAATTCTTTCATTAGGAGTCCTATTTCTAGTGTCCATTATTATGTAACAAAGTGAAATAATGTTACATGCAAGGTTACTAGGTCAGTGTCATACAATTTTTCCTGGTACTATAGAATTATTACAAAATATTTTAGTGTAATTTTGTAATTTATAGATGGCTATTTCATGTGTGGCCCAAAATATCAGTAAACCAGTCACAAATCTTTTGTGCATTTTTCTCTATGGGATTGTCATTTGTTTTTTTCAAAATATATCACTCTATGAACACATTTTAACAAATAGTAAATTAGCTATCCTGTTTTTCCACCATAGGTTTGTATTTCTCCCATTAAAAGAACTTATTAGATTTGGTATCATGATAAATTCTGATAAATGCTGATTGATTATATATAAAACTGTATAATTCATGCCTTAGAAATCAATATTCAAAATAAATCTAGTATTATGGTTGAGTTCTCCTCTAGCTTATTAATAGATACCACTGACTTCATTCCTTCAGATAACAAAGGATCAAATTTGAAATGTTCATGGACTCGTAATACCCTTTTATGTTTATTAGTCTATTTAGACTACTCTGTGGGGAAAAAATTTAAAGACCGGTATGCTTCTAAAGAATAAAACTTACTTTATGTATTTTTATTATGCTAAGGAGCATAATAAAATGCAAGACTCAGGTATGAGTGGATCGGTGTATGTTCCTCCTTGGCAGACAGTTTTTCCCTCTAAGGCAATGGCAGGGGGCCAAGGGGATGGGGGGGTCTCTTTGGCTTCTCTTATGTAAGTGTTCTAACCCATTGTAAGCTGTTGCCTTCATATCCTAGCTACCTCTAGAAGACCCAGTCTTCTTTTACAACCCTATAGCCAAGGCAGGATTGCTACAGAAGAATTTGCAGGGGCCATTTCCAATATTTTATTTTATGTGTTTATGTCATGTACATTTCAACAATTTTTATTTTTTAATCTTTTCTTTGTTTCAGCCAAGAAAACTTATCTAGGTCAAACTAGCACTCCCACTCTCTAACTTTTATTTTCTTAAGGAATATTCAGGACAAAAAAAAAAATGAACAGTTTCTTTAAATAAAAAAAAAACAAAAAACAAAAAACAAAACAAAAGTGATTCTTACTACCATTAACAGTTTTGGTTAATGTTGGTGTCTTGTTTTGTTTTGTTTTGTTGTCATGGACTCTATGATACAAATATTTTGAGTTGTGAATACATCATTTGTTCTGTTTCCTGTCAAGGAAAAGACTGAGTAAAACTGACTGCAGCATAGAATTATTATTATGCTGATATGTAGGATAATGAACTATCATTTCTCTGTTGCTTCAGCCTATTGGTGTAGGCATACCGACAATTAATTTAAGAAAAAGGAGACCCAACGTTCAGGTAACTGTGAATGAGGTAGACAGCTGTGCTTTCAAATTTGCCAAATCAGGTTGAGATCAAGCTTCTAGTCTCAAAGCTTGTAAGTGCAGGCTCCTTTACTGCCACCAGGCTTCCAGAGCATGAGGCACAAGGGAGCTTCCCTTCTCAATGAGCAAAGTGTGCTAATTACGGTAAAGGGTGTGCACTGGCTGAAAGGCGGCTAAGGAAATTGACCTAATAATAACGTTAATCAGAATAATCAGAATGAAATGGCTCCTGAAAAAATTGTCATTGAATTTGGTGCAATTAATACCATACCCCTGTTTTCCTAACAGTTTGCTTGTGAAATTGATTTTAAGTGCAAATTGAGTCATAATTGCTGTGTTGTGATTTTTATAAATGAAAATTTTGAGCCCAGTTGTTTTGTTTTTAATTTCTAAAAGTGGAATTTGGGGTTCTGGAGAGATGGCACAGTGGTAAGAGTCCTGGCTGCTCTTACAGAGGCCTGGGATATAATACCAACACCACATGGTGGTTCATAGCCCTTAGGAATTCCAGTTCCAGGGCCTCTGTGCCCATTTTTGGTTTCTGTGGGCACTGTGTTCTCATAGTCCACAGATACACACTGGTTACAGATACATGAAGGCAGAAAACATTCGGCATAAAAGGATATTTCTTATTCAGAGAGATCCAAAATGTTAGAGAAAAATTGACTGCAGATTTGTGTGTAAACCTATCATTTCCTTTAAAACACATGGTAGTGTGTTACTGGAGAGTCAGCATGGTGTTTAGTGATCTTTATGTATGGACAGTGGGAATGAGTTGTAATCTGGTCCTATTAGCTGCCAACACTTTATCTGTGAGCAGTACGTCAGTGTTTTCATCTGTCAATCAGGGGCATTCTGCACTCCTCTTGGAAAACTAAACATGTGTATTGATGTCATGCCCCACCCTTGGAAGTTCTCATTGAACTTAGGCTCCCGAGCATATGTAAGCATCCCCATCTGTCAAAAGTGGAGTGATTTGGACTAGTGAAGCTTTAGTTCTCTCACAGAGCTAGAACTCTGTGGTAATCTAAGTCTTATGTTGCAGCATCTTCAAAGTTTTAGGCCCTTTTTGGTCCCTGTAGACATTACAATGATGTGTATGCCTTTTTCAACTAGGAAACTATTTTGTTTTTCTGTTTGCATGTACTTTTGTAATATCTTAATTTATAGTTTTTGCTATCAGGTGAATTTTATTTTACCACAACCCCAAATATATGCATGCAAATATTATTAATTAAAAATATGCAACTTTAATAATGATTTATTTTTATTCATTATGCAAATTCTAAATGGCAAACCAGCAACTACTCATAATTGTTAAAATTTAAATTTTGTTATCATCATATACTGTCCTTAATAGTTATGATAGCTGAAATTCATGCTGATACAAAATACTAGGCACTTATTTTTCTTTGTGTGAATTTTCAGACACAATGAAACTAATAGAGGTATTCAGTCCATGTTGCTGTTTTCTTTTTAGAAGACTTTTTTTTTTGTCAACTTTCTACTTCTTATAGAAATGATGGATGTTTCTAAAACAAATGAATGCTCTGCCGGATTGCCATTTACAAATACAAGTGATGCATTGACAATTTCTTTTATGATTTCATTTTCTTCTCTGTCTTTATATGTTGGATTGGGACATGATCTGCATATTGCCAATTCCTCCTGATAATGGCTCCTCCCCTGCATGCTGTTTGGGGCCGGTCATGCTATGCATTATCCATTGCATGTAAGAGAAATATTCCTACTTCTGTTTTCATTTTACCATTTGATTGTCTTGAGTTTGTTTTGCATTGGTTTATTATCTTAATTTGAATGTTTATACAGTAGAACATTTGTTGTGTCTTTTGGTTAGGGAAGTTGCAAGTTTCATGAGCTTAATAAAAATTCTCAATGTTGACTTTTATTTCCATGTAAACTCTACATTCCAAAGGACTATTTGCTCTTGGTGTATTGTGCTGGAAACCCCAAATACTTTCTACCAATATAATAGAAAGTTTGATTATACAGAGTTCTTAAGCAGTGAATATTTTCTCAATTATAAAAGGCACTGGTTGTGAACAGAGACTTGGGTGGAGTGCTTGCAAGCATGAGGCCCTGGACACAATCCCCTGCTCCCTCACCTTTACAAAAGACACAAGGAGAGTATTTTGAAAATTGTTACTTGAAGAATTCTCATTCATCAAACACTATGAAGATTTGAAATTCTAATTTTTTAAAAATAGCAATATTCCTTGAAATAAGGCATCTTGCATGATTATAATATAAATATGTCCTATGTGTACTACACCATGGTATTCTCCATCTAAACAAGATATACAAATTGGACAGATTTTTTTGTCTGCAACTAGTATGTTAGGAGACATATTCCTTTAGCATGGTGTAGCAATATGGATGTTTTTTACAAACTCAAGGTAAAATGTCTGTGATACTAGCAAGGAATCAAAGACTACATTGATTACTAGCATCTAATTTTGGCCATATTTGGATGATACTTTTTAATAAATACTTTAATGTCTACTTTCTAAAAATTTTGATTGTTTTGAAAATTTTATTTAAGTAGAATTTTATTCTGCTAAATTTTCCAACTCTAATATGACATGTTATACGAAGTAGCAAGAATTACAAGGACAGAGGTACATTTTGTCTGTCCACTAAATGGCCCTCATTTAATGTTTGAGAAATTAAAAGCACACCAAAATGAGGTGAATTTAACAGGCTAATAGCATCAATTGGGATACAAATAAGTACTCTGTTGAGTTCCACAGTGAGTTTCCTTGTATACCACAAGAAAAGGAAGTGGATGGTAAAGTAGAAAATGGTGTTTAGTGAATCCACAGGTTCTGTTTCTAACCATTTCCTGCCTTCACTTGATAACTGATGACAATTGTCTGTTGCACTTAAAACTCAATGCCTAGCTCTGAAAGAAGGTAAGTAACTTTTATAGAATTAATTCACACTGAGTAATCTGCAGTCTGTTCTGTGTACAGAAATGTCTGCTAATGTCATATGTCCTTAATTATTATCTTCTGTGTAGAACCCCAAATCACAGGAGCCAGTCACACTGGACTTCCTCGATGCAGAGTTAGAGAATGACATTAAAGTGGAGGTGAGTGTGCACAGTCGGGTTACGTCAGACAGACACATGGCCTGACCCTGGGTTCCCTATCCCACAAATAAGTCTTGAGCAGTGGTTTATGTCAGGCCATCTCCTAGCTCACACTGGTGTGTTCTTTGTCGTTAAAATAGTGTGCATCCTCGACTATCATCTTCCAATGATTCATACTGGCAAAGAATGGATATTTCAGGTTAGGTGTGACCTTAATTGTGTTCTCATTTCCTTGGTAACTCCGAAGAGTTATTTTAAATGTACAAAAATAACAATAATTTTAATAAAATTCATACAGGCAGATATGCTATGCAGTTGAGAGAGAAGTTGGCAGGGTTCCAGCCACCCAAACATATGAAGAGCCGTGTGTGCAAAGCTGCAGCCATGTTTGTCTGAAGGCACTTAACATTTCTGTTTTACTTGTGTAACAAAGCCACATGCCGCTTCTTCTGCCAGGATGTCTCATAATAGTAAAGATAGTTATCTAGTAGAAGGCATAGAAATTATTAAGTTCACAGTTACTCTAGAGTGTGGCGTAGTGAGTACTGGGATGCTGTAGATGATTTCTTTAAAGTGTCCAGGGCCCTAATGTTACAGTGATGATGATGAGGTTGCCCTCTCAGGTTCAGTCCCACTGAGTCACCTTGCTGCACCCATGTAGTCTCTCCAGAATCTACCACCCTCAATGTATAGTAACTGAGTGACATGATACATGAAGAAAGCTGAGCAAAAGACCTGGTACATAGTAAAGTTTGGTAATTATTTTACTTGCTTACTACTTTTCACTGTCAAACTGAAAATATTTTAAGAAAAAATAGATTCATCCTGTAGTTTCAGATTTATTTGCCTGGTCACACCAAGTTCGTTCACTCACTAATATTTATTAAAGCCCAAATGTAACAGCTAACAATATATAAAATTAAAATCAAGTTGAAAGAAATTCTGAGTTTCCAGTAGACTGGACTGCTTGTCCTCTAAGATTGGCCTGGCTTTACTTTTAAGGACTTAGGAAGCTATAAGAGGGCTGCAGTGTGATATAAAATCCTAATAGATCTTTACGACTCACAACCTACTGTTATGTCATTCTTCACAACTGCCTCATGTGGCAAAGAGTAAATTACAAGGGGCAAGCCAGATGTGGGGTCCTGTACTCCCAGTACTCTGGAGACAGAATCATAAGGACCCTGCAAGTTGGAATGCAGCCTGGTCTGAGAAGTGAGTCTCAGGGTTGTAGAGTGAGGCCTGCTCTGGAAAAGTAACAAACAAACAACAATAACAAATTATAAAGGACAGTCCCAAAATGTGTCTAGGCAGGAACTGGCTGTTTAAGGTGAGGTAAGAATTTGAAGCATTTCACATTACATGTTAATTCTGGGAGCATACCTACACTTTTACCTCGTGGGATCTACTTCCACCTGAAATGCCTGAAACCTATAAAGAAATTGTGATTCCATTGCTGTGATTCAAAATTTACTGACCAATTAATGAAAAATTTCAATAAGCATGTTTTTTTTTTTTTTTTTTTACTGCACAGTCATGTAAAATGGTTACAATGTGGTAGCATAAAAATCCCAAATAACCTCATCTAGTGGTGCAACTGCTTTGCCATTATCATTCAATATCCATGAAATAAGGAAGAGTTTTGAAAATGATGGTTGTGTAACCTTCAGTAAGTCAGTTTGTTTCCTGGATAAAGCAATTGCTTCATTTTCTCTTAGATTCGAAATAAAATGATAGATGGAGAAAGTGGAGAAAAAACATTCAGAACTCTGGTCAAATCTCAAGATGAGGTAAGAATTAATGAAGCTTTGTTCGTGAGTGAAAGCATGCATTCAGAATAGGGATGCTAGTGGTGTGACATGCCTTTCTGCATTTATTTATGGAGCGGGGATAACTCTGCTGAGCATTTTTTCATACAGTAAAAAAAAAAAATACTGTGTTAATTCACTAGAGAAATGGCACAGGATATAAGAGTACTTTGCCTCTTTGCTGTGAGGTCTGGAGTTCAGATCCCAGAGACCCTGTTGGCAGGCTCTGTTGCCTGTACTCCAATTTCAAGAGCATTGGTGCCCTCTTCTGAATTCTGCAGGCATGTTCACACATGTACACACACTCACACAGAGACACATACACAAAATCATAAATAAATAAAGGGTTGTAAAAGCTATATTCTTAAAATTACACGTTGCATCTATGTGGTTTATTTTAAGAAACAGATTTCTTTGGGCCAGGGAAGCGGTAGTATTGAATTAATATATGTTATATTGTATTATGTGTGTACATAAATGTTCTAGAGATTGTGTTCTGAATGATTTAGCTAGTTTTACTTTTTAACCCCTCTGTACCTGTGGTACTCATGCTTCTTAGTGCTACAACTCTTTAGTACAGTTGTGGCGATGCCCATCTGTAAAATTATATCAAGGCTGCTTCATAACTATAATTTTGTTACTATTATGAACCTAATGTAAATTTCTGATATGCACGAAATATGGTAAGTTACCCTGTGCGGGGTCGTGACTCACAGACTGAGAACTGCTGTACATGTCACATGATAACACAGCCACCCTCATCATTCACTGGTATATATAATAAGTTGATACTGCTTCAGGTGTGAGAATACATGGATTTTGTATGTGAGGATATTCTTCTGTCCATTATCAGTCATTTGTGGAGTAAAAACTGACATCCGCATACCTGAATGTTCAAAATTACATAAGATTAGGAAGTTTTTGTGCCTCTAAGTTTAATTGCAGCTTTCTAATACAATTTGTACTCTTTATCCAAAATCCTGTATGTTTTAGGAACATAATTTTTTCTCCCTAATTTCTTGACAGCTCTTATCCTAAAGGAGATATATGATCTAAATATTTTTAATAGCACACATCATTTATTTTGATGTAATTACAAGTGGCTATTACCAGAACGGAAAAGGAGGTATTACAATTTTCATTTTTATTGAAATAACAACTCTGTAGCTTCACTGTGGCCATGGTCTTGACTCTTTGCTCCCTAAAGCAAGGGTGTAAAGTATTTAACAGATCTGCCAAATCCTGTGTCATTCCAAGATATCTGACCTCCGCATTTTTTTATGCAGCTTACAACTCATTTCACATTGCTACTTACTTGCCTCTTCCAGTTCACTGTCCATTCATCTTAGAGCTGTACTCACCAATGAACTACACTTGTCTGTCTTAGAAACTTTATTTTTTCTCTTAAATGTACACATGTACATAAACAAATATAGACAGCTATATTTGTTCATTATTAATTAAATATCACTACTCTCATTTGATCTGTTTGTATATTTCAAGAAACTTTATTATTTACTTTGAGTGGTCATGGCTTTTTGGTATTATCAGGTTTATAAAAATACCAAAACAATTCTATGAATTACTATTTTTCATTATTTTGTTTACCTTTTATTGAAAATATTTTCTTGCATAATAATTATTCTGATTATGAGTGCCTATCCGTCCACTCTTCCCAGTTCCTCACAGACCTTCCATCTGGATCTACCAACTTTTTGTCCTTCATTATAAAACAAACAGGCTTCTAAGGAATATTAATATAATAAAATAATATAATGAAATCAAACAAAAACTGATTTTAAAATGATATCATCGAGGACATTGGATCTGTGTTTGCTTTATGCAAAGTTTGGCAGGAATATTTAAGTCATGATAATGACTTTTAAAGTAAAATGTTTTTAGTTTGGTTTTCTTCAAACTATCAGAAGCCCTTGGACAGAAATCATGTAATTGTGAAGCCCAATGTTTCTTATAATAAATAATTTAAATTTTCTTTATACCATTTTTCTCATCTATGAGATCGGAGAGTTGAATATTATCATGTATCAACACTGGGTGGCAGGTCATTTTATCATGTGAACTGGTGAACTGTTTCCCAGAGAGAATCTTGGGCTTTACTCATCACATTACAAAATACCTGCTTCAAACTTATTTGTAGGGATTTTTCATAGTCATCTCGATCAGAAATACAGGAATACAATTGTTCTTTAATAAGGCAAATGTGCAGAATAAGTGAGAAATTAAAAAAGAAATTTACAGCTACATGTATGAAATTAATATACTTAGAAGAAAGAATGAGTGTGTATTTACTATTGCTCTTGACACAGGAGATATAGTACATCTGTGAACTAATTAACTCTGCACTTTGCTGATTGAATATAGGTGTTTTTCTAACCTTCAATTGTATAGCAACATGATTGTTCCACAAAATGAATCTTTGAGATGGGAATTGTACTTTTATATGTAGAAATGCTAATATATTTTTCCTCATCATATCAGCTATCATTCTTAAATATACTCTACTATGGTTGATATTTGAACCTTGTTTAATATTCTATAGTCCCATTTTATTATTAAATGTGCTTTTAATTAAATCTTTTAAAGTTTTGAAGAAAGTACTCTGTTATCAAATACTGAGCTTTTATGCTTCTAAGTCCCCAACTTATATCATTTGAGTATTCAGTTCTGATCCAAAATTTTATTTGACAGGTATGCACTTCAAAATTTTTAAAATGTGCAAAAGAAGTATGTCATTTTACTTATGAAAAAAGGATGTTGAATGACTACCACTTTCCAGATGGACATATTTTTTACTCTTTCTATAAATTCATATGGATGGGAGGCTGCAATGACCATGTTTAACTTTCTTTCTAGAGATATATTGACAAAGGAAATCGAACATACACATGGACACCTGTCAATGGCACAGATTACAGGTACATTTACAATTGTCTCGTATAAAGGACTGTAGATTCAATTAACCTTTTTTTCAAATATTTGGTATCCAATTTTCAATAGACTAGTATGAAATCTTAATTTTAGTTTATTATTTTCAGTGGAAGTTTCAACAGAAAAATTACTCCCTCCAGCACAAAAATGAGGGTCTGATTTTCAGCTTGCAAAATATGGAAAGTAGCTAGCAATGTAATATTTAGAAATGATAACTATACTTAATGACAGTAGTAATAAAGATTGATATAATAGCCATAATTTATACGTATGACATCTATTGACTTTCTCTTTTATTTCCATTTAGCCCAGTTATTTTCTTTAATGTTGTAACTTAGCTAAAAAATAATAGTGTGCTTTTTTCATCATTATATGTGATATAAAATAACCTTAGCACTACTGAACAGTTCAATGATGTCTGGATCCCTCCAATTTTCTATATATCAGAACCTACAAAGCCCAATATTCAAAAATCTGAAGACTCCCTCCTTTCTTCAATTTCTCTGTATCTCTGTCTGTCTCTGTCTCTGTCTATCTCTGTCTCTCTCTGTCTCTCTCTCTGTCTGTCTCTATTTCTCTCTCTCTCTCTCTCTCTCTCTCTCTCTTTCTGTTTTGTTTCTCAAGTCAGGGTTTCTCTGTGCAGCCCCAGATGTCCTGAAATTCACTTTGAAAATCAGTCTGGCCACAAACTCAGAGATCTGCCTGCCTCTGCCTCCTGGGTGCTGGGATTAACTGTGTATGCCACCACCTCCAGCTCTCTTCCCTTTAATCTTCTCAGGTCTTCCTGCTTTGTCTTTGGTCCTTTGTTTCTACATCCTTAGAAAAGAAAAAAATTTTGTGTAGCTTAAATTTTAATTGGTCTTAGTAATAAAAATCTGGAGTAAAATATTGAAGAACTGTATGTACTGTGGAATAATAAAGAACATTTTGCTCTTGGAAATAGTGTGGAGACTTACTGTGGAATATGAATGAGCCATCTACACACAAAGAAGAGAGGACCACCTCTGTTTTGTTGGCTCTCACCTTCCACCTCACTTGAGACAGGTTTTCTCATCCTTTATTGCACATGCCAGACAAGCAGACCACAATCATCTGAAGACTTTTGTCTCTGCTTGCCATCTTATCTTACTACTCATTCTCTCATCTTGGAAATTTATACTTCTGAATTTCCTGTCATCAAACCATACCTACCATCCAACTTTCCTTCACTGTAATAGTCTCTCCCATTCTTCCAATATAGACTATTTTCACTCCCCTACATTCACAGAGATCCACATTCTGTGGCCACTATTTAAACCTATCCATATGGGTAAAATAAAACAGGATGTATTTGCTAAAATAAATCTTAAAATACACAAAAACTCAATTTTTTATCACTGTATTCTACAGACTTAGAGTTATTCTATCAAGTCTATCAAAGCTTTAGATTCCTAATCCTACTGTTCTCAGTCAATACTAGGTTCTGAATTTACTGTTCAAATATCCAAATGACAACCTCTGGTTAAGACTTCTCCTCAAAGATATTAATAGCTCACTGCTTCAAGGCCTTTGTTCCTGATCACTTCAAATTAAGGTTATTTCCCAATATTGAGCCTCCTGTCTATATACATATTTAAATACTGCATTACTACCAGGTAGCTCACCCAAAACTCACTTAGGTTTGCACACACACGGGTGTATGTGATGCTTATAGAAAGGCATTTAATTCTGTTGGTTACCATTTCTAAGAGGGTAGGTCTAAGAGGGTAGACATGGGTTCTACTCCATTTGTCTCTGACTCCCATGTTCAACACAGAGGCACATAGAAGGTACTTTTTAAATGTTTATAAAATTGAAGAATCTCATTGTAAAGAAGTAATTTTTAACTTGAAGAAACTTGAAATCTGTTTTACCTTGTTGAATTCAGAAAATTATACCCCAAAATTTCTGTCATAATTTTCTCATGTGTCCTTTGATTATGTACTTATCACTAATGGACAGGAATCTTAATTTGTTGTGTCAGACTCAGCTATATCTTTTCATTGTTGATGTTGTTGTCTTTGTTTTGCAACTCCTCAATTCATTAATGCCATACACATAATCTCTTAGGGGAAATCTTGAGTGCTAGAGATGTCTGAAAGCTACAATGTTGTTATCATAGGAACATATCTCCTTTTATTCTTGGGATGACAAATAGAATGTAGAAGAAGAAAATCCAATGCTAATGTCTTGACATATTATATCCAAGTCCTTTCTGCTTATCTTAGTTATATTTTAGGACATTGAAAAATATCAGAAGTACCATTTTTTATTATTTTATTCATTTTTATATAATGAGTAGATTGTAATATCTAACTTTCTTCTAGACATCTCTTTACATTTGCATGATGTTCATGAATAATTACAAGTAATGGTTTTCCTCATTTATTTTGATTATTACCATCCTTCAATTTTTGAACAAACCTATAAAAGCCTATGAAGGTATAGGACAAAGGGATTCCCTGTCTATTAAGAAGTAGAGTCATTATAAAACAAAAAATTGCTGAGCAGTAGTAATGTATGCCTTTGATCCCAGCACTCATGAGGTTGAGGCAGTCAATTTTCTATGAGTTCAGGTTTCAAGGCCAGACTGGTCCACATAGCTCCAGGACAATATGGGCTACAAAGAGAAACGATGTCTCAAAAAAAAACATGCAAATTAACTAACTAACTAATAAATAAAAATAAAGCAAAGTATTGGTTGCATTGTACGGAAATATGGTTCCTGCCTTTGTTGCTCAGATAAGCAAAATGGAAACACAGTCTTTTTGAACACAACAATGAATCAGCTATGAAAATTGCTTTTTACTTCAGTTGAAAGACTACCTTTGTCGTGACCTTAGTTTTGGGATCTTGTTATGTTTTTAGTTCCCTAAGTGTGTTTTAATTGAATTTACCACCCCCCACAACTCCTCTCAGATACGTCCCTGCCTCCCATACCACCCAAATACATGCCTTTTTCAAAAAATAATCCTGTCAAGTCTAATGTCTGCTGCCTGTTTATTTTTGGATGTATAACCTTCCACTGAAGTGTGTTAGTCTTACTTAGGTCCACACCCTTAGAATATGCACCCTTACTTTTTCCAGCAATCAATATCTAAAAACTCTGATCTAAGCCTGAGGTTTTGTGCTCACCTCCCTTCTTGATGCTGGGATTTGGTCTGGATTGAGCTTGCACAGTTCTTGTGCATGCTGTGTAACAACTCTAAGTTAATATATGCTGCTCTACCTAGAACACACATTCCTCTTGCAGTCATCCACCACCGATGGCTCTCACTTCTTGCTCCACTGCAGTGATCTCTGGGCTGTAATATGTAATATAGAAATCCCATTTACTGCTGAACATTCTGAATTTGATTTCTCTACATCACAGTCACTTGTGGGTCTCTGTGCTAATCACCATCAAATGTAAATAGAGGCTTCTCTGTTTAGAGTTGAGAGATGCATTAATCTATGGGCACAATGAAAAGTCACTAGTAGTTGGTTTAATCCTTCATGCATTTAACAGAATAGTAATTAGTAATAGGGATCCCCTTGGGCCTATGATCTGCTTATCCATAGGTTGTTGGCCAAAAAATGGTGCCAGGTGTAGATTTCATCTTGTAGAGTCAACTGTATACCCTATCAGAAAGTGGTTCCAGGTTGTTCATGCCACCATTACATAAATGGGACAGTCTTGCCAGGCCAATCATTACTATAGCTCACAATGTTCACAAGTGGAAATGAATTTGTAATAGACTCACAAAACTCCTCTCCACTCAGACTCTTTCCTTTAAACATGCAGGAACAATGTATATAGTATGAGTAATTTTCTTCCTCAAGCTCAGTGTCACTCTTTGCTGACAAAATTTCCTATTAGGACTATTATAGATGATATTGGCTCCACCCATTTCTACCACAGCCTATCTGCTGCTATCTTGCTGTTTTTGTCACCACACAGGTGACAGGGAAGAAGCCATAATGTTGCATGCTTTCCACCATGGTCCATGACTAAGTCTCTAACTTTGGCCTCAATTACATGTATGTCCTAATATCTGGGCAGATAATTCAAAATAGCTAACAAATATTATGTTCTGCCTAAAGATGGATGATTTGATTAAATGAGTGAAATACCACTTTCAGACACAGGAGTTTCTGTTTTCTTAAACTTTGATCCAACTTAGGTAACACATTTTAAAATGTAAATAATGACTTCTTTTACTAAATCTCTTTTTTCAAAGAGATTGACTTTGATGGGAATAAATGATTTGAGAAAAAAAAACTGTTATAGTCCATTTAATTCAGTAAACTAGGTTTATGTGAACCACAAAATATTACCTGGACTTTATCATCCATCTAGTGTCACTTGCTTTATTAAACTGTAATCTCTGAGAAGAATCAAGAAGCTGTGTTGTATCAGGTTCATATTATAAGATCAAACAGCCCTTGCATAGGAAAGCATCATTACCTTGGAATGTTGATAAAGATCGTATCTGCAGTATGTGGAAGAAACAACAGTTGGATTGACTTGCAAACAGATAGAACTATTGTTCTAAAGAATGACTTGTGACTATGAGTAACAATATCTGTCTTGGCTAACACAACATATATTTAATATGCCAATTTTGGAGCTTTCATTGGTATCCTCATGGGTTGCTATACTACTTTTGGTGGAGCATAACATGTGACTCAGAGACACTGGAGCAGTGGGAGGATGTGGTGTTATCGGTTTTAATTAGAAGATTTTGATGGTGATAAATGCTGAAGGAGCAATAAAAATTGCCTTAATTCCCCCTGAGAGAAATTTGGAGGAGGTGGTTTTCAAATACTCAGTAATTCTGTTCTTTTATTAATGGCAGGTGAATCATGAAAGGTCATCTTGTTTTCAGAATGATTATATTGCTTATTTTAATTTTAATCCCTGCCTCCCCTTGATGTTACCTATAAAATGAATGTAGAAATGTTCATTAACTCTACATAACATTTTATTTCCCTGACCTTCTCCTATAAGCAATGACTGTGGTGGAAGCTTTGGAAACTGAGGTTGACAAGCAACCACCAATTTTTGCCATCTTTATTGAAGAATTAAATTTCAGAAAGTAAACCCTTGCTTGCACTTGAACATTTGTACAGGGGAATTTTAACATTTCTACTCATAATAAGATAAGCCTGATTTTTTTTTTAATTTTTGTTTCATTATATATTGTCAATCAATAACATGCAATGAAATAATACTTTGGATTTCTATTCCCATATCTGGGTATGTGAGGGGGAGGGTAGGATGACTTAAAGGATTTACACGTGCTTTACAATATTCCAATTCCTAGAAAGGAAGATATTTTCTGGTGTTTCACTAATATCTGTGGTAATGTTAAGAGGCATGTTAGCCATGTTAACTTTGTATATGGTTTCACAGACCATTTTAGAAATGGTCATTTCTTGCATCTAAGACTCACTGTATTCCTTATACATTCAAAGCATATCAAAGCTCATTTGTTTTGGGAAATGTAGATAAACAATCATTTCTGTGTCTTACATGTATATATTAGCTGAAGGAAGAAAGGGAGTTTACTTCTGACTACTGCCTAAACTTAATTAAAAGCTCAAATACATTCATCGGGTATTCTATAAATTAGAAATTTCTAAAAAGAAAAAAAAAAAAAAAAAAGAAAAGAAAAGAAAAAAAAAGTAAGGTTACCTATCCTGCAGCTTCTTGTGAGCCATCGTTCAAACAAGGTGGGTGGCAGTCTTGCCTAACATTCTTTGTGTCTAAAGCATTCTGAAGTTTGCCTAAGATTACAGTGGAACTGTTCTTTGGTTAGGACATCGACCATTAGACTACATAAGCCTCCAGACTCTTGAAAACTACTAAACTCAAGAAATGTTTCCTCTTTAATAACAGAGTGTTCAATCGCGTGGCATGTCCACAGTAAATCATTTGCACAGTGAGTTGTACAAATGAGTACAAATGAATCAAACAGTCTCTATAAAGGGTCAGAGCTTGTCCACATGAGGACACTGGGGATTTTTGCCACAGGACCAGAAAAACAGTGAGAATTGGAAACCTTCTAAACTGTGATATCTTTGTGCATTGTGAAGTAGTAGCAATGGCTATTCTTTCATTTTTAATTGTGATTGGTTCAAAGCATTCAAAACTATGTATAATAAAAAGGGTGTATCCAGCTGGTATGATATTTACTTTGTTTAAATTTAAACTCTATTTTCTTTCTTCTTTCTTTCTTTCTTTCTTTCTTTCTTTTTTGTTCACAATCTCGGGTACATAATTAAACTATCTGGAAATATATCAGGGATCTAAGGCATTGATCGTCAGCTATTTTATGGCTACATTATATAGCCTTTTAATTCCCTGCCCTGTAGAGAGCAGGATGGTACAGTTTAGCAAGGTAGAGATTAAGAATTCTATCTGTTGAATGCATTTTCTTGTCAAAGTAACATGTCCTCTCCTTCGCATGAGGAACATCTTCAGATTTTCCCATGAACTTGACGTCTTTTTTTTTTTAAAGTTATGTTTCATTTTTGTTTGTTTGTGTTTATGCTTCTCTTGTTTCTATTGCAGTTTGGCCTTGGTATTGCCAACCTACAGTTTTTACTATATAAAAGCCAAAATAGAAGAGACAATAACTCAGGCCAGATGTAAGTACTGTGAAAGCAACTTCAGGATCTACTTGTTATCTCCGAGTGCAGATGTTTATATCTAGATTTTGGAATGCCCAAGGCGTACACATTATAGGAGGTATCATTATAAAATCTACAGCAATGATTCTAACCCATTCCAAACATGCAAGGAACAAGAATATTCTACTTGGATAGAATATGAGCAGGCACTCCAACCTCACTGGCAGTCCCGCTGCCCTCCCCTGCCTTGCTATGTGCTCAGAGAATCATTGCAGTGCTGTGTCCTCTGTGCCTGTCGTTTTAAGGGTCTGTGAGCTGGTGTGAAATGTTTCACATGCTGCTACCAACATGCTCTCTGCTCGTGGTTCTGTGCTAGCAAAGCTTTTCCTTTACTTATCTTTCCTTTTCTTTTCTTTCTTTCATTCTTTTATTTTTTTTGTTCGTTTTGGTTTTTTTTTTTATTTTTTATTTTTTTGCATTTGGCCAAAATAATGTTGTGCTTGGCAGTTAGCTTTCTTTTTATAATCCAAATTAATGTCTTAGTCACTCAAGTAAATTCACTTTTATGCATCCTTTGGAATGTGGAGTAAATAACACCAATGCCTATTTCAAGACATTTTAAAGTTTTATTTTGTTTTTGATGGCTAGATTTAGTGAAACAAAATGACCATCATATCCTTTGTTCACCACTCAATGGTTACTGGCAACTTAAATTATATATATCTTTTCCCAGTTCCCATCTTTTCTCAGTCTGCCCTTTTGCTCTTTGCAGCAGTGGTAGACACTACTACTGTATTGTGGAAGATTAAAGTATACATTTGCACTTTCACTTGATAGGTATGATGGTCTTTTAACAATCAGCAATCTTGCATGAGCTAGTTTTATGTGATAAAGGGAGGGGATACTTAGTGAGTGTGCTCATCGGTAAGTGCTTCTGTTCAGAGCTGGCATCACTGATACTGAACCTATATCAGCCACTTTGCAAAAGCAGACCCTTGAAATAAGCACAGTACAGAGAGGGAACAAAAGAAAAATTGACAGAACATAACTTCCAGTCTTCAAAAATGCCTGTTTTTCTCCCCCAAACTACAGCTGTACATAAATGGACCTTTGATCTATGCACAATATTTTTATTCACAGTTATTGAATAAAATATTGTTTGTGACCCTTTACTTTACCCTCTTTGTTTTTTTTTGTTTCCCTGCTTTCTCTTTCTGATGGATTTACAGCAAAAAAGGGAAAAATGAAGGGCAAGTATTTTCTTGTTGCTCAATTTCTTTCTGTTTAGTACACAGCATTTTCACTAATATTTTCATTCCTACTGGATATTATCCTCTGTGCTTCACATTGGCTAGAATTTCCTCCATGACTACCCGAAAGTCAGCAACAGAACAGGGGCAGGTGTGCCTATGTTTGCTCAGGCAACCTGTCATGCTCAAGTTGGTTATATTTTTTTAGAGTTAATATCATGTTTCTTTTTCATCTTTCCACCTACTAATTCTTACCTAATATAGAGATTCTTATTACTTCTCCAAATGCATGAATGAGTTCAAAGTATTTAATCATAATGTTAATAAATGTCATTGATATTTTAAATAATATACTTGCTATCCTATGTGTATAGTATATTTAAGATTCTTAAGTATATTAGAACTAGTAAATAGAAAAGCATAAATAGCTTTTTGTATGTAATTATTGCTGTAATTACCTAGTGAAACTTACCTATCGCTATAATCTTGGAATAAGAGAGAATTATATTGAGATCTTGACAGTTAATTTGTTTCAAGTTTAAGATGTAAATAGTCTGCTTAAAGTTTTCTTAGTAGGGACTTCTTTACCAATGCCTTCATGCTGTCCTACACCCTTGAAGCATATGCTCTTTATTGTTAATCTAATCTTATATCATTACATTTTCAGATTCAGAAACCCTGAAGCAGACAATTTTGAAGAATCTGGCTATATCTTCATAGCACCAAGGTTGGTTTGTTGTTCTACTTCCTCTGTAATACAACTCACATTATTGGCTATGTCTTTCAGGAAAAAAGTTTTTAATTGGGGTCAAGATTATTCTAAGTTAATTACGTGTTCAATTATGAAAACAAAGAGACTATGATTTTTAAGCTTTCAAAATCCTTTTCTTCATTCAAATAACTGTTGTTTGTTTAAATACTGGTGGAGCAATTGATAAAGATGGAGCAGTATGATACCTCACGTGCTCAATGGCACATAGAACAGAGGAGTGTTGGTCTTCTGTAATAATGGAGTATTGTCTTCTGGAGGTTGAATAGCATATACATATAAGCACAAAGGAAGTCCACATATACATATAATTACTTCGGGCACATACACAGACACAGGCATACATATGCATAAGCTCACACACTTAAATATGAACTGTTTTAATATCATAATTGTAATTTTTACATAATTAACACAAATTTCTGGATGACAAGTATTTACTGAAGAATAATTTTTTATTATATTTATATATAGAAAACTCAGCAGTATATATGATACATGCTACCCAGTTTGCTTGTCAGTTTTTGGCCTTTTGCTCTTAGAAGCTTGAGAATGCCACCCATTAATTTTGGACCCAGGGCATTATCTCCCCAGATTGTTGCATCTGTCATTGATATTGGTCCTGATTGCTTTTACTAGCTTAACCACAACCCATTTGTCTGCTGAGTTCCCTGTGTGAGGCAATGGCACTGCTTGTATTCCTCGTGCACCAGCTGCCCTACCCTGGCCTTTGAGGATGCAGGTGTATTCCTGCTGCCATAGACTAGCCTGATAATGCAGTAGTGGACTCCTGCCTTGCAACACAGCAGAGAGGAAAATCACCATTCTAACGGGTTTACATAATGGGCAACCAATGGCAACTGAGCTTGTCCTCCACAAACTAGTTTCAGTATTGGCCCCATCAAAGAACAAGTGGTCTCTGTAGAGGCATTGCCTTTGGCAGCAGCTTTTCTCAGTGTAAATTCACAGCCTCTGTTTCTTCTGCCTCTTTGTCTGTGGCCTGTAATGTGGGCAGCCTTAAGCAAACACGGCTGAAAGCCTGCATTGCATAGTGAACTTCCAAAGTTTGAATGTTCATAGAGGATAGGCCTTTGGAGGGGAGTCTGGTATATTAAGGCCATTGATAACGTGATGAGTCTCTTTGGTGCTGATGTCCAATACCAAAGTTCAGAGGCCTTTTCTGAAACAAGATTCACCACCACTTTGTCCTACTTCTTCACGGCAGTAGAGGTCAGAATCACCTTCTTCTCTTGTGTTGTTTTCATTTTGGTGTCAGCTGGAGGAGCAGAAAATATAGTGCCTCGTGTGTGTGTGTGTGTGTGTGTGTGTGTGTGTGTGTGTGTGATATGTGTGTGTGTCATACAATGTGTGTGTCATTTACGTGTGTGTTTGCATGTAGGTGTGGCGGTGTGCACATAGAGCCAAATATCCT